GCTCATGCTGCAGGCATTCCTAAACTCTCTCAAGCAAGCAGAAGCTGGCCTCAGCATGCACACTACCTCTTGCTAAGTGACCCCAACCGAGGCTAGGGATTGAGCCTACAACCGGGGTATGTGCCCTTGACCAGGATCGAACCTGTGGCTCTTCAAGTCCATGGGGAGATTCTTTAGCCACAGAGCCAAACCAGCTAGGGCCCCAACAGAAACTTTGCAGGCCAGAAGGGATTGGCACAAAATATTCAAAGTGATGAAAAGCAAGGACCTACAACTAAGATTACTTTACCCAGAAAAGCTATCATTTAGAACAAAACTAAAGAAGTTCATCACCACCAAACCAGTATTACAAAAAAAGTTAGAGGGACTTCTTGAAGAAAAAAAAAAAAAAAAAAAAAAAGGAGAAGGAAGAGGAGAAAGACAAAAAGAAAGAAGGAGGAGGGAAGGAGGAGGAAGAGGATCAAAATAATAAAATGGCAATAAATACATATCTGTCAATAATTACTTTAAATGCAAATGGAGCCCTAACCGGTTTGGCTCAGTGGATAGAGTGTCGGCCTGCAGACTGAAAAGTCCCAGGTTCGATTCCGGTCAAGGGCATGTACGTTGGTTGCGGGCACATCCCCAGTAGGAGTTGTGCAGGAAGCAACTGATCGATGTTTCTCTCTCATCGATGTTTCTAACTCTTTATCCCTCTCCCTTACTCTCTGTAAAAAATCAATAAAATATATTTTTTAAAAATGCAAATGGATAAAAACGTTCAAATCAAAAGACATATGGTAGCTGAATGGATAAGAAAACAAGACCCTTATATATGTTGTCTACAAGAGACTCACTTCAGATGGAAAGACATACACAGACAAAAATTGAACAGATGGAAAAGGTATTTCATGGAAATAAAAACACACAAAATAAGCTGGGGTAGCAATATTTATACCAAAAAAAATAGGCTTTAAAACAAAGGTCATAACAAGAATCAATGAAGGAGCCAGAAATTCCACTTCTGGGCTTTATCTAAAGAAACCCAAACATTACATTGAAAAGGCATGTATGTTCACTGAAGCATTATTTAAAATAGCCAAGATATGACACAACCTAAGTATCTATCAGTGAATGAATGGATTTTAAAAAAGAGGTGATGCTGCCCAGCTGGTGTGGCTCAATGGTTGAGCATCGACCTATGAATCAGGAGGTCACAGCTTGATTCCTGGTCAGGGCACATGCCTGGGTTGCGGGCTCAATCCTTGGTGTGGGGCATGCAGAAGGCAGCCCACCAATGATTCTCTCTCATCATTGATATTTCTATCTCTCTCTCCCTCTCCCTTCCTCTCTGGAATCAATAAAAATATTTTTAAAAAATAAAATAAAAATAAATAAAAAGAGAATTAAATTTTGCCATCTGCAACAACATAGATGGACCTAGAGGGTATTGTGCTGAGGGAAATAAGTCAGATAGAGAAAGACAAATACCATATGACTTCACATATGTGAAATCTAAAAAACAAAATAAACAAATAAGCAGACCAGAAACAGACTTCTATACACAGAGAACATTTTGATGGATGCCAGATGGGAGGGAGATTGGAGGAGATGAAAAAGGTGGAGAAATTAAGAAGTACAGGTTAGTAGTTACAGAATAGTCATGGGGATGTAAAGTACAGCATAGCGAATATAGTCAATAATGTCGCAATAACTATGTATGGTGTCAAATGGGTACTAGGCTTATCAGGGTGATCAAGTCATCTACACTAATAAAAGAGAAACATGGTAATTGGCGTACGACCGCTACCCTTTTCATTGGCTAATCAGCGAGATATGCAAATTAACTGTCAGCCAAGATGGCAGCCGGCAGCCAGGCAGCTTGAAACTAACATGAGGCTTGCTTGCCTCAGTGACGGAGGAAACCAATGTTCCCCGCCTGCGGCTGCAGGCCTCTGAGCGGGCAGTTTAAGAAACATTGTAACAAATACCGCCGGACTTCAGCCAGCAGATTCGCAACATTGTAAGCAAAGGCCAGAAACCTACTTTCAGCTGCGGAGGCCTAAGAGCTGGAGCCAAGCCTCAAGGTAAAGCTGACCCAGAATAAAAAAAAAGAAAAAAAGGAGCGGTTGGGAACTTCAGTCACTCCCAGCCTGAAAACAGCCCTCAGCCCCTCACCCAGACTGGCCAGGCACCCCAGTGGGGATCCCCACCCTGATCCAGGACACCCTTCAGGGCAAACCAGCCGGCCCCACCCATGCACCAGGCCTCTATGCTATATAGTAAAAGGGTAATATGCCTCCCAGCACCGGGATCAGCGTGACAGGGGGCAGCGTCCAAACCCCCTGAGCAGCCCTGCTCTGTGCCTGATAGGGGGAAGCTTCCCAACGCCCCCCCCATGGGCCCTGCTCTGTGTGTGATGGGGTAGAGCCATAACCTCCCCATCAGCCCTGCCCTGAGTGTGAGAGTGGCGGCGCCCCAACCCCCTGATCGGCCCTGCTCTGTGTGTGACAGGGGCAGTGCCCCAACCCCCTGATTGGCCCTGCTCTGTGCGTGACAGGGGGTGGCGCCGCAACCTCCCCATCGACCCTGCCTTGAGTGTGACAGGGGACAGTGCCCCCACCCCCCAATTGGCCCTACCCTGAGCGTGACCGAGGGTGGCATCACAACCTCCCAATCTGCCCTGCTCTGTGCATGACGGGGTGGTGCCCCAACTCCCCAATCGGCCCTGCTCTGAGCCTGACCAGGGGCTGCACCTAGGGATTGGGCCTGCCCTCTGCCACCCAGAAGCAGGCCTAAGCCAGCAGGTCGTTATCTCCCGAGGGGTCCCAGACTGCGAGAGGGCACAGGCCGGGCTGAGGGATCCCCCCCCTCCCCCCCGAGTGCACAAATTTTTGTGCACCGGGCCTCTAGTAAGTTATATAAATGTCTAATCACTGTGTTTATCACCTAAAAGGAATATAATATTGTACATCACCTGTAATCAAAAAATAAATTTTGCCGAAACCAGTTTGGCTCAGTGGATAGAACGTCGGCCTGCGGACTGAAAGGTCCCAGGTTCGATTCCGGTCAAGGGCATGTACCTTGGTTGCGGGCACATCCCCAGTGGGAGATGTGCAGGAGGCAGCTGATCGATGTTTCTCTCTCATCGATGTTTCTAACCCTCTATCCCTCTCCCTTCCTCTCTGTGAAAAAATCGATAAAATATATTAAAAAAATAAAATAAAATATAAAATAAAATAAATAAATAAAAATAAATTTGTTTAAAACCCTTCCAAAAGTAAAATTCTGGGACCAGATGGTTTCACTAGTGAATTCTGCCAAACACTCAAAGAAGATTTAATACCTATCCTTCTCAAACTCTTCCAAAAAACAAATAGATTTACACATTTAAGCCATCATAGAATATTAGCTATCTGTATTACTTTTTGCCTCTATTATAGTATTCTTCATTTGATCTGCCTTACTTCTTGGCTTGCTATTTAGAGATTTAGCTTCTCAAAGAGACCCTTCTAATGGCTAGGTTGATGGTAAAAGCAAGATGAAATAACTTTCCATGTTATAAAAGCCAGAGCAAAAACCTAATCTTCCAGCCCTGGCCAGTGTGGCTCAGTTGGTTGGGCATCGTCCCATGAACAAAAAGGCTGTTGGTTTGATTCCCGGTCAGGGCACATGCCTGAATTGCAGTCTCAATCCCCTGCAGGAGGTAGTCAATCAATGCTCTCATATTGATGTTTCTCTCTCTCTCTCCTTCTCCCTTTTCTTCCCTCTAAAAATCAGTAGAAATATATTTTTTTAAAAGTTAATCCTTCAAATCTCAAGAAAAAATGGATTTAAAACCGAATAAATAAAATTACTTTTAATATCACACAGTGCTGCTGCAGAGAGAAAATAAATAAATGAACTTTCAAATGAATGGGAAAGAAGATAGAGGAAAAATGAATATGGAAAGAAGGAAAAAAGGAAAAGATTGTATTGATAAGTAGAGCTTGACAATGTTGTAAACAGATACCCTAATGTAATTCAAAACCCAGCTTTGGATTGAAAAGGAAAAATTTCCTTAGGAAAGCATAACTAGGTAGATTCATATGAGATTTCCTTCACCATAGCCTTTTTTTATTTTGCCTATGTACACATTGTCTGTTGATATCAAGGACAAACAGTGGATCTGTGTTTGCTGTTCAGTACCTTTGAACCATCAGTACATAATTTTCTATTATAGCTCCTATTCCAAGATACAGTTTCGAGTACAATCAACTATATTCATGAGTAAGAAAATGGTTGTAAAATTCTAGGTAAATATTACACTATAACCAATTTAACAGTGGCTTAGCTGGGGAAATTTTATAGGTTGTTTCCATTTCAAATAAGAAAGATTTATATTCCAACAGGCTTAGGAGGACACCTACTGGATTATATGCCCACAAATAATAGTCAGATAAAATAATCCTGCTCATCTTGTCACCAGATGAGACCAGCCTGGAGCAGGCCAGTCAGTAGTGTGTGGGTTCTTGACTTTGTGCAAGAAAGATTTCACAATATGAGTCCAGGTGATTTTGAGAGTTTGTTTATTAAATCTGGGGGCAGTGAAACAAAGGAAGGACTTAGGGTAGAAAAAGCAACAGAAGTGCCCTCGCTGGTTTGGCTCAGTGAATAGAGTGTCAGCCTGCAGACCAGGGGGTCCCAGGTTCGATTCCGGTCAGGGGCACATGCCTGGGTTTCGGGCTCGGTCCAACATGGAGAAGGCAGCCAATCAATGATTCCCTCTCATCATTAATGTTTCTATCTTTCTCTTCCTCTCCCTTCCTCTCTGAAATCAATAAAAAAATATATTTAAAGAAAAAGAAAAGAAAAAGTGACAGAAGAGAGTCTAGGACAGGGGTGGGCAACCTCTGGCACGCATGCCAAACATGACACACCAGTAACTTTTGCTGGCACATGAAACCCTCTCTTTTAATCTTCCATTTACAATTTTTTTTTTTTTACAGTTTCCTTGAATATATTCAACTATCAAGGCAAGGCATTCTTCAATATAAAACATTATAATTTTCCCAATACTATAAAGAAATCCAATAAATAACTGTACAGTGAAGGGCCCCGATGAACCCTGTGAGTGACCCTGGGACCCCGAGCAGCTGCAATGGTGGAGGTGCCCACAGCACCAATCCCTCCGCAAGGTCGCCTGCAGTTTGGTCTTTTTCAAATGTGACCCGCTGGTGTTTCCAAGCTGCTTTATAGATCAGTCCCATCTGGTGAAGCCTGGCGGGGAGTGCAGCCCAAAGAGTACAGCCCAAGAAGTGGTCAAAGCCAAGGTTTCCGCACGACAACTCTCTTCTTCCAAGGGACTAGTGACCGCTGAGCCTGGCTTCAGACTAAGTGCTTTAGCCGCATGCGCTTGGAAAGTCTTCTGTGCCCATCACTGCGCCCATCACGCTGGGAAGAGCTCGGGAGGGCTCTCTCCATAGCAATACTTTGCTATGGGATCCCTATAGGTGTTCTCGTGCTGCACACTCTGGGATGAGGTCCTGCATTTAGCCAAACACAATTCAAAGTGATCCTCCACTGCCATGAAGAGGTTCTGGAAGGCCACAGCTGCCCGGTTGAGGAAGCGCTCCAGGAGAAGCTGCTTGTTGGGCTGCAGGCAGCAGGAAACGCAGTGCTCGTAAGCGCTGCAGCAGCCGTTGGTCAAGCAGCCATCACAGCAGTACTGCTTGGTGCCCGGGACGTTGACATTACAGCAGCCATTCACCAGCAAGTCCTTCCTTTCACAAACGTATCCTAGTTCGTCGGTGATGAGGTGCTTCCCTTGGACGGAGTTCCGGCACTGGTTGCTGGGCCGACTGCTATTGCCCAAGTTAAACTGCACTTTGCACAGAATGGGCTGATCATGGTCTTGAACCTGGAGGAGATTCCGATCTCTCGCCGCCCTCTCCTCCTGCTTGAAGGTGCTGGTGAGGAAGTAGAGGAGCGAGAGCCCGAAGACCAGGGCGAGCACCCACCGCTTCCGCAGGAGCCGGCGCCACACCATGGCCGCCAGGTTCACCATGCCGGCGCGGAGGCCGGGCGCGGCGGCCAGGGCCAGGAACGGGGCAGGCCCGGAACCCGGGCGGCATGGCCCCTACGCGGTGGGCAGCCCCATTCCTCACACCCGGCGCCGGCCCCGCGGCCCTCAGCCCAGCCAGCTCCCGACCTACAATTTTTTTCTTACTATCAGCTTTTTTATTTTTCAGATAAATTCAGTGTAGGTGCATCTTAGATAAATAAATAATTTTACAAAACAAGTTATCTTAAAGACCACAGACATGGATTGACAAGAGAGGGGAAGAGCAATTTCTATGCCTCTGCCTTAATTCTCCCTGCCTTCGTAGATCCGACCAGTGTTTTGGTTTCATCCACATACGCTTGTGAATCTTTGTTCTCAGTGATGAATTTTGTTAAGTCTCGTCATAGGAGTAGCCTGACGGATGAAAGTAGTAGCTCGTGCATATCTCTGAAGGTCACAAAACATAAACCTCATGTAAAATCTCTGTCATCAGTGATGCAGCAGCAAAAGTCCCACTGATAATATCAAACGGAATCATTAAGTTTTCTGTCGGACTATCAGTGTACATGTATACATTAAAAAATAAATGTGATAGCCAGTTAGCCTGGAGGTCAAATCACCCCTGGTATTGCCGACAATCAAGGCTTAACTACAACAAGACTGCACACAAAGACCACTAGGGGGTGCACCAAGAAAAGATAAAAAAAATGCGGAGACAAACAGGACGCAAATGTCAGAAATGGAAGATATAGAGCTCAAAACCACACTTTTAAGGTCTCTCAAGAACTGTCTAGAAGCTGCCGATAAACTTAGTAAGGCCCTCGAAAAGACTGGTGAGACTGCCGATAAATGTAGTGAGATCCTCAAGAAATCTAATGAGACCCTCGATGTTCTGATAAAGAACCAACTAGAAATTAAGCATACACTGACTGAAATAAAGAATATTATACAGACACCCAACAGCAGACCAGAGGAGCACAAGAATCAAGTCAAAGATTCGAAATGCGAAGAAGCAAAAAACACCCAACTGGAAAAGCAAAATGAAAAAAGAATCCGAAAATACGAAGATAGTGTAAGGAGCTTCTGGGACAGCTTCAAGCGTACCAACATCAGAATTATAGGGGTGCCAGAAGATGAGAGAGAGCAAGATATTGAAAACCTATTTGAAGAAATAATGACAGAAAACTTCCCCCACCTGGTGAAAGAAATGGACTTACAGGTCCAGGAAGCGCAGAGAACCCCAAACAAAAGGAATCCAAAGAGGACCACACCAAGACACATCATCATTAAAATCCTAAGAGCAAAAGACAAAGAGAGAATCTTAAAAGCAGCAAGAGAAAGAAACCCAGTTACCTACAAGGGAATACCCATACGAATGTCAGCTGATTTCTCAACAGAAACTTTTCAGGCCAGGAGGGAGTGGCAAGAAATATTCAAAGTGATGAATACCAAGAACCTACAACCAAGATTACTTTATCCAGCAAAGCTATCATTCAGAACTGAAGGTCAGATAAAGAGCTTCACAGATAAGGAAAAGCTAAAGGAGTTCATCACCACCAAACCAGTATTATATGAAATGCTGAAAGGTATCCTTTAAGAAGAGGAAGAAGAAGAAAAAGGTAAAGATACAAATTATGAACAACAAATATGCATCTATCAACAAGTGAATCTAAGAATCAAGTGAATAAATAATCTGGTGATCATAATAGAATTAGGGACATAGAAAGGGAATGGACTGACTATTCTTGGGGGGGAAAGGGGTGTGGGAGATGCGGGAAGAGACTGGACAAAAATTGTGCACCTATGGATGAGGACAGTGGGTGGGGAGTGAGGGAGGAGTGTGGGGCGGGAACTGGGAGGAGGGGAGTTATGGGGGGGGGGGGAAGAGGAACAAATGTAATAATCTGAACAATAAATATTTAAAAAAAATAAAAATAAAAATAAAAATAAAAAATAAATGTATTTTTCATCATCATATACTGTGTTTTTGTCGCTCGAATGAATTTTATTATTTCTTCAAGGTTCCTCACATACGTACACCTTAAGAGATATCAAGTAGGCATAACATGTTCTCAAAAAATTAGGGCTGGCGCGCAGAAGAATTTTGAGTCAGAGATTGTGCTGGTTTTGGCACGCACTCACAAAAAGGTTGCCCACCCCTGGTCTAGGAGGTGTTCTGCTTTGGTTCCCTAAAAATGTTATAGGAAAGAAGTGAGCCTAAGCCCTGGCCTGGAAGCTCAGTTGGTTAGAGTGTCCTCCCATTATGCCAAGATTGTGGGTTCGATCCCTGGCAAGGGCACATACAAGAAGCAGTCAATGAGCCCTGACCAGTTTGGCTCAGTGGCTAGAGTGTCGGCCTGTGGACTAAGGAGTCACAGGTTCGATTCCGGTCAAGGGCATGTACCTTGGTTTGGGGCACATCCCCAGTAGGGGGTGTGCAGGAGGCAGCTGATCAATGTTTCTCTCTCATGGATGTTTCTAACTCTCTATCCCTCTCCCTTTCTCTCTGTAAAAAATCAATAAAATATATATTTTTTTAAAAGAAGCAATCAATGAATGTATAAATAAGTAGAGCAACAAATCTCTCTCTAAAAGCAATCAATATTTTTTTTAAAGGTAGTTTTTTAAAAAAAATGAAGTGAGCCAAGGCAGGGCTGCTGTTAGCTCACTGGAAAGTCAGAGAAGAAGAAGGCCTTGGAGACAAGATCAGGGGGTAAACCCAAGTTGAGCTGCCACTGCCCAATGCTCCCCTGGTCACAAGTCTCATGGGGATCCTTAGATCCTTAGATCCTAGGAGGAAGTACAAAGTTCATGCCTAAGAAGGGGCAAGGGTGTGTTCTAGAACAAGGCCTCACTGGTATCCTTTGTCTTGAGGCTTCTATCTCTGTTCTGTGGGAATCTTAGGGGAGGGTGTCAGCAGAATATTCGTTAGCTTTCCAGGTGCATTTCTAATATGCTGATTCATCAAAATGAGCATATTGGGGAGTTTGGGATTATTCTTTGGTCTGCTTTTCTGTTTTACTTTTATCTTGGGTGCCCGGCTCTAATCAGGGTTTGCTATTTGTTCTCTGGCTTCATCCTCCCTGGGTTTAGCTGGCACAAATGGCATTAACTGGGTCTCTGTTCTCTATTTCCCTAAGCAGAGTGATTTGAGCTCTGTATTCTCTGGTTAGGGAGGAGAGTTGTAAATCATTTGCTCTCAAGTGTCCTTGGTAAGGGAAGGGAAGGTCTTGAGATTCACTAAGTGGCTGTAAGTCATTCAAATTGTTTGGCCGCCTTTATCTTGTCTCAGTGTCCCCATTCCACTTGCCCAGGAACTTTCCTAGCTTTTTACTATCCTGCCTCAATCTGAAAACTGGCTTCAGGGGTAACATCACAGTTTCACAAATTCGGGTCAGTAGTGCTCTGACCCTCTATTGTGAAGTAGGGCAATGGTCCCCGTGATCTCTTCACTGTGATGATAGCGATCCTGTGTGCCAGCTTTCCAAATAACTAGATTAATGCTAGAAAAGGAAAGTTCTAGAGCCTTTGAAGCAGTTTCTGATATTGGATTTCATTTCCATATGTAAAAATGGGTTTTTCGCCCTAGCTGGTTTGGCTCAGTGGATAGAATATTGGCCTACAGACTGAAGGGTCCTGGGTTCAATTCAGGTCAAGGGCACATGCTTGATCCCCAGTAGGGGGCGTGCAGGAGGCAGCCAATCAATGATTCTCTCTCCTCGCTGATGTTTCTATCTTTCTCTTCCTCTCCCTTCCTCTCTGAAATCATTTTTTTAAATTGGTTTTTCTCCTGCTTTTTATATCTTTTTAAATTACAAGAAACATAAGTCATGAGTTCAAGGTGCTTATGAATCCAATGTGCTTACAACAGTAGTAATCTTGGTTGTGCAAGAATTTAACCTGGAACTTTATAACAATTTCAATATGGATACATTGTAACAGTATATCAAAGATTCTATGAAGTAGAACAAGTTACCAAATGCATTTGACAGTTTTAGGATATCTGTGATAATAGCCACCTCCATCCATAGGAATAGGAATGGATTCCTGGCAATCCTGTTTTTGTCATGTGACCCCTCAACACATACAGCTCTGGCCATGCCAGCTAGACAACAGGTAGATTCACTGTCCTAATCGGCTAATTGGATTCTCATTCCTAAGAATTTAAAATCAGATCTGAAGGAAGACCAAATCAGCTTGTCTCTTCCCAGTGGATCCATATCTTACTAATGAGGCACTATGTCACAAGCATATTTGAGTACAGAAGTTAGTCTTTGGGACAGAAGTTAGTCTTCAGGGACAACAAAAAAAGCAGATGTACAGAGAGGAGCAGAGGTGAAACAGAGATTATTCCCTGAGCTCCATTGCACAGTTCCAGGCCCTTCCTAGGGTCTGCATACCAGCCTTTGAGTTTCATGAGACATATAAAATCACCTTCCTTTTGCTAAAGTAAACTCCAGTAGGCTGCTTTTACAGCAGCCATCATAAAAAATGCTTCATTGAGCAGTTGTGCACATGCTTAAAACATGAAAAAATAAAAACTTTCAGCAAAGATATGGAAGATATATGGGGGGAAATGTCAGTAAAGAAAATGTTAAAGGTAATTATAAATAGAGATTAACAAAGGGACAGAAATATGTGAAGCAAAAACTGATAAAACTGAAAGAAGAAATGGGTAAATTGACAATTAGAGATGGAGATTTCAATGCCTCTCTTTCAATAATTGATAGAACAAAGTAGACCAAAAAAAAAAAAAAAAGGAAAGATAGAGAAAAACTCAATATTGACATCAACCAAAATGATACATTAAACAATTAGAGAACATTCACCTAACAACACAGAATGCACATTCTTATCAAGTACCAATGGAACATATAGTACTAAAATAGACCATATCCTGGGCCATAAAACAAATCTCCACAAATTTTTAAAGAACTGAAACAATATAGAATATGTTCTCCAACCACAATAAAATCAAAGTAGAAATTAATAATAGGAAAATCCTGATAGAGTTGGAAACTAAACAATAC